GCGCTGGGGGGGGGAGGGGTGACGGGGGAAGGAGAAGATCGCGCGGAGTGGGGGGAAACCAGAGCGCGCGATGATGAGGGTGGCGGAGACGAAGGGAGGAAGAGGAAGGAGAGGAGAAGAGGGGGGGAGGGAAGAATGAGAGCAATGAAGAAGAAGAAGAAGAAGAGGAAGAAGAAGAAGAAGAAGAGGAAGAAGAAGAATTCGACGACTATGACAAGAAGGAGGTGAGGAAGAAACGAGGAGAAAGGCGAAGAAGGGAAAAGAAAAAGGAAAAGGAAAAAAAAAAATTGTTGGTCACTTACCTGCGCGTCGGCTTCGGGACCGATGACGTGGCAGCAATGACGAGGATGAGGAGTTGCTGACGTGGCGATAGCGACGACGGCAGGTACGAGGCACTGACGTGGCAGTGATGACGACGATGGCGATGACGTGGCGGCGCTGGAGACGATGACGATGGTGATGATGTCGATGACGTGGCAGCGCCGAAGCAGGGAGGGAGGGAGGGCCGTTTGCCGCTCCGATACCAGTGTGACGGGGCTGAGGCAGAGCAGTGAGGCCGGGGAAGAGAGAGGGAGAAAGTGAGAGCACACACAGACTCACTCAACTCGACACGGACTCAACACGACTTGACGGACGCAGACACAAAGTGGCAAAGTCACAAAGTCGCAGTCTTAGATTCCGAACACAATGTTGCAGCAAGGCACACTGAAGCACAAGCACTCAGGCCGAAAACTGAGTGCCTGAACTGGGCTTGAGTCCGGACTCAAGTTGAGTCCTGAGGGCAGAAGTGCAATTTGCCTCAGGGCTGAACTCAAAATTGAAGGTCTGAGCCTGGCGCCAGAATGCCGGATGGCACCAAGTATCGAAATCCGAAAGTGCCAGAGGAGGAATTTGAGAACGGGCGCCAACTGCAGAGGGCGCCAACAGTTGGGAACCAGAGATCAGGAACTCGAAAATAAAATAGCAGCCTGGCAGGTGGTAACCCACGGACCAGGGATCGAGCCCTGGCTGAGTCCGGTTGCAGTAGGCAGATACTAGGCAAGGTGGGATTGACATGCAAACAGTTGATGATTGGTAAGCGGCCTCAGGGACTGCCATGAACACCCCCCCCACGCCAAGCCCCCCGGGGATTGCCCTACTGTGTGTCTGGGTGCTGCTAGTAAGCCTCCCACACCATATGTCAGTCCAGCGTGGAGGGCCAAAGGTATGGGGGTTGGGTGCACAGAAGCTGCTCCCCCGTGCTCATACGGCTAGTGCCAGATCCTCCTCCTATCTTTTTTTCTCCCCCACTATCTTTGTACAAACATGCTTGCTAGGATAAGTAACCGGACTGCTGACCCCCAAGAATGGAAGGGGCCTGTGTTATTAAAAAAAAAAACAAAAAAACTCCAAGCTTGTGGCACAGATCACGACTCGCGATCTGACCATTAGCATATGTCATGGTACCATGGTGCCATCCTAAGGTCACTCCCCCTGGGTCCTCGCAATCCATCTCACCTCCCAATGGATGAGTACTACGGGCACCTCCTGAGGCCTGGCCACCATCCTCTACTACACCCTGGACTTTTTTCGAAAGGGAAACAGGGAAAAAAAAAGGAAACTTCAAGCTTGGCCCTCGGTTTTCGTGTTATGGTCAAACCCATCATCAAACAGCAAAAACTGTCAAAAGTTCAAAATAGTAAAAACAGTGAAAAGTTGAAAATATTCAAAACAATGAAAACAAAACAATGAAAAGAGTGAAAACACTGAAAACACTGAAAAGTTGAAAACCCAATTTAAAATGTTGGACCAGTCCCGACGCATCTGGTCCATCTTGCACTCAAGATACGTGTCTAATGTTGAGTAGTAGTGGAGTGAGGCCCATATTACCTATTTCTTAACATCCATGTGGCTACCCTTCAGCTACATGGGCTGGGTACACTTGAGCGCAGCTAGCAGCCTGCTAGCAGATGCTCCAGCGGCGCTGTGCCCGCAACTTGCAAGTGCCCGAATGTCTGCCCTGGAACCCGGCCCTTTCCTATATGGAAAGTGGCGGGCGCTTTGCCTTGCCACGACCATGTGAGACCGAGTGCCCAGTAGCTTCAGTCTCGGCCAAGGTGTCTGCGCCCAGGCCCGTTCAGACAGTGGCCTGGGACTGATTTGGTTAGGCATGTCCAACCACCCAGGCACATTTGTGCGATGTTCCCTGCTCACCCCACGTTGCTAGAATGGCCTGGAAGGCTCACAAATATTTCCCATTCTCACGTGCGGACGAGTTCAGAGCGCATTCCGCATTCAGATTCAGGGGGCCCGCCTTCACTTAGCGCGGCACGCACCTGTTGCAGGGCCATATGCCGAGGGGTCAAACCCTCGCAAGTGGGCCCAACTTTTTTATTTTTATTTTTTGAAAACGTGGTTGGACTGCGCTCGCCGAGATCTCCCCGAATCCGCAAAGAAAACTTTGAACAGAGAAGTTTCGTTTAAGAGGTTGTGTGTGTGGGGGGGGGGGGGGGGTATTTCAGGGGTTGGGGGTCAAGGGCTGGGGGGGTTATGGTGAGGGTGTGAGTGGTGGGGTTTCAGCAAGCACGGGCTTCAGCAGACATTGACAACAACGTACCTGGCTTTCTGCAAACGTTAACCTTCCGCCCAAAAACTTTGAAAAGGGGGCTGGGGGTGTTAGTGGCAGGGTAGGGACGAAACTTCCCACCCAAAAACTTTAGAAAGGGGGGTGGGGGTGATAGTGTTAGGGGGTGCTTGTCACTGCTGTCTGGTCCAAGTTGCCCTCGATACTGGTAGGGTGATTTGTCCTGAGTGCTGGTCACACCGAGGTAGGATAGTAGGGATAGGGGGTGCGCTGGGAGCATTAACGTGGGGAAGGGTAGGGAAGGTGGCTACAACACCCTGGGCTTAAAAAAAAAAAAAATGCTGCGCTACGGTCAACCGGGGGGGAACCGGACCGGTCCGGTTGCGGTTCGGGGAGGGCCGCCCGTCCTACCGGATTTGCAGCACTGACACGTACACTATTTGTGTATGTAAGGGCACACTCACACTAGGCCCTCAAAATCGCAAAATCCCAAAATGAGCGGCCAGATCTAGTCCTTCTTTGACAAGGACTCGATCTGGCTGCTCATTTTGTGATTTTGCCAGTTTGAGTGCCTAGTGTGAGTATGATCTAATTTCTGGTGGCAGGCACACATATGCGTACGTGAACATGTACGTTCTGCTTACATGTGTATGGTGCAACACTACACGATACGATATTTCTATCAATTCTCCATATTAGCAAAAATTGGAAAATTGGAGTTAAACCACCAGTTCACACGAACCTGCCGTCTCTACCTGAATAGAACGCCACGCCCCGTCATTATCACTGCATCTGGGCCAGAACTTGGCCCAAATGCAGCTATAATGACTGGGCCATTCTATTCGGGTGAAGAGCGAAGGGAGTGCTCTAACCGGTTTACAGAGGTAAGACCATTCGATTCGGGCCTGGGTCAGCAGCGAAAAGGGCAGGCCACTTCGAAAAGGCACGGTTGCAGGCTAGCGATCCTTGAAGAAAAGAAATTAAGAAAAAAAAGAAAAGGCTCGTGATCCTGGGGAGGTAGCTTCGTCAACTTCGGCTCGTGTGAACTGCTTTAAGAACTTTAAACTGATGAATGAAAAAACAGCTTTCAAAAGAGCACATACAACCAGAATCAGATGGTAAGACATTACTTTGTCGTCGTCCTGGAACCCTCGGTCACATTGTGCCACGTGTAATGCGACATCACAATGCCGCAGAAGAAGACCGTAACAATTCCTGAAAGCTCGACCAACTGCAAACAAGGGACGAAAACCGCAAAGCGCACACGGCAAGACAAAGCTGAGGAACAATGCTGTTAAGAGATGGGAGGGAAAAAAAAAAGGAAAAAAAAAAAGATGGGAGAAATAAGTGGCAATTTCGCATAATAAATTAATAATGCCATGATCGGCAAATCAAGGAATAATTTCCGAATAATTTCATTCCAGCAAGATGAGGCCAATGCGCGGTTCTGAATAATTTCAATACTATCATTCCGGCAACATGAGGCCAGCTTGGGTCCACCACATTTAGAAAATGCAGGGGACAAACAACAGAAACCCGTTAGCTGCAAAGCAGAGGGCATCAAACATAGACTATTATCAGATTTCCGTTCTCCAGTTCTGTCCATTCCGTTTATTATGCTTGGGCAGAAGGATATGGAGTATTATGGACAGAACGGGCCAAAATGCATCTCGCCCAGTGCCCAAAAAATCAGTTCAGAACACACCAATTACCAGTCGGAAAAAAAATCAAATCCGATCGTAACAGCACAGGCCCAGCGGGCCAGCGCCCAAAAAATAACGAGGCGCGTCGGGAATTATTGAGTGCGCCCAGGTCACAGATCTCGATTGCAGGGTGGCTCCAACTCTGCCACACCATCTCAAGCTGGCCCAGGCCAAGGGTGTGAGCAACACATGCGTGGTATGCCTAGTGATAGGTCATGCCTGAAAGCAGCATGCGAAAGTCGAAGAACGGCTTCGATGAAGCAGAAGGTAAGGTTAGGATAACGGACTTGATACGTGAAGCCGGTCCCATTCCGGGCCATACTTTACTGTCCACTTCTCAAGCAGGCGGCGACCATGTAAGTGGACAGTAAGCCACGGTGGATTTTGTGCTCGATGTCAATAGCGAGCCCGGGACTTGACAGAGAAACAGCTAGGTCGATAAGAAAAGCGCTACAACTGCCCTGCGCTATGATATTGGTGCTTCCGTTGTGACCTCTCAGATTTCCACATGAAAAGAAGCGGCGAGAATCACGTGTCTGCAACCGCTCACCCCGGCGGTGATAACCTTTCAGTACAGCACTCCGTACGTGGTTCATGTGATAGTCTGTTTTCTGTCGGTTTTGCTGAACGTTAAGTATCTATGCATCTATGATCATGCGTGCATCACATTTGCCCTTGCTGCGTCTGTTGTTGGTCTGGCAAGGACAAAAAAGATCTGACTGCGGTTGCAGCAGTTGTATGCCCAATGCTGCATGTGGGACATGCTAGGAGAGGATGTGGCAGGTGATCGCTTCGGGGATCGTCCATGCAACATGGAGACCACAATGTGTATAATACGGCACAAGCTCACTCTTAGATTTCCACATGAAAAGAAGCGGAGAATCACGTGATGCAACAGCTCTCCCTGGCGGTGGTAACCTTTCAGCACGGCGCTCTGTAGGTCCTTCTTGTGATAGTCTATGTTCCTCCTCAGGCTGTTGTTCGTCTGGCAAGGATGAAGGAGATCCGACTGCTGTTGCAGCAGGTGTGGCAGGGGATGTGGCAGGGGATGGCATCGGGGATAGTCCACACAACATGAACATCACAATGTGTACAATGCGACTCAACCCGCCCGGGGAGCCGCAAAGTAGTAGTTCAGAATGCCATGTGTTTTTGCATTGCAGAGACACATACTTTCTATGACAACCACCTTGAGGATCATATTGTTTTCTTCCTCTCCCCCAGATAGCAAAGATCTCTCTCTCTCTCTCTCCCCACTAGTAGCAGGACTTGCCATTCCAGCAGGCTTGCTTCATCCTCTTCGACTCGTCTGTAATCCCAACTGCACTGAGGGCAATCACAAAACCTTGGCCCCTTTCTTACCGACGCTGCTCCGAACTGACTCCATTCCAAGATGGACACCTAAAAAAGTGCCGGACACTGTTTTCCAAGGCAAGCACATTGCCACATGATTGAATGAAGTTGTAATTCAATCTCAGTGACTTGGTCTATGTCAACTTTGTCATGACATTAACTTTGCTTTCCACAATGAAATAGTATGAATTTATTCTTTAGGAGGTCATCAGCGCTCTCCTTCAGGCCTCTAAATAGTCTTGGGCACAGAAATAATATTTTATAACTCTGAAATTTTAAATTATTTAAATTTATTTTAATATTTTTCCACTGGGAATTTGGGAAAGGAATCTTTACAAGGGCAATGCTGCACTCCTCTAGACCTAAGAATACGATGCACAACTACTTACCAGAGTGGCCCTGGACCACTTGCCCGGCCGAGCCAAAACTGAAAAAAAAGGCAAAACCAGGTACCTTAAGGGCAGTGGCTGGTGCCCACCTCAGGGTATCAGTTGTCGAGTAGTCGTTGATGCTTAACCACAGATGGGGTTAAGGTGGATTATCACTTACAGTGTAATCAGTTAGGGGATTCTGCAGACTGTTGAGGGTTCACCTCCTGATGAGTCAGTGAAAGTCCGACAAAACAGTTTGTCACAGCCCCTCGTGGGTTGTCCTCTTCTCCCTCTCTGCCTACGGTTTACCGGGCATTTGACGATATATATACACATTCGAGGTTTGAACATTTCTTAATTTAATTTCTAATTTTTAATTATTATTTACAATTTCTCAAAGATTTTATTTTATTTTTTCAACAAAAGCATGTGTTTTATTACACAAGCCGGAAATCGGGCCTGGCGTCCCGTGACAAAATATTGTCGTGTTCCCCCATCAGAGTGGCACCACCGGCGATCCGACCCTAACGCAAAAGTAGTTCAGTTTTTTTTTTTTTTTTTTTTTCCCCCCCCCTTAAACCACTAGTACCTTTGTCGTTTCGGGAATAGCAGGCCTCCAACCTTTCAGGAGGCCGAAACAAAAGGCCGGCTGCTGATTAGGTTTATCAACGGCAGTCGTCGTCGGCCTCGACCTCCGAATTCTTCGGGAACGGTCGTTTTCCCTCATTTCTGACGCGACAAAGCGCAAAATGAAAGGAGGTCGGGGACCTCACAATTCAACCTTACAGCATTAGCCAGTTTCGCTTACAGCTCCAGCCAAACCAGCAGCTGAAATGATTGGCAACCACACTACTTCAATCAATTCCAAAACTACAATATCATCATGAACACACTACTTGAGTTTATTTTTCTGCACAGCATAGTTTCTTTTTTGAATTTTTCAGATTTTTTGTTTTTTTGGCCCAAGGTGACCCGCGTGGCCCGGTTGGTAAGACATGCACAACCACATTCGTTACTTACAATCACACGAGAGGAAGAGCTGTGAAGTTGTCTCTTACCAATGGGCTATTTGCTGGAACCCCCTATCAATCTTGGTCCTCCAAATGCTTAAATTCAGCAAACTGCTTGCTCTAGGATCATAGGAACAATCCAAGATTCGGAGCAATGAGCAGGAAACCAAAGTCGACTTAACTAAAGAAATGGACCCACATTTCAAGAAATTAAGTTGGTGGCATCTCGGTGCATGTGGTTAGGTGACTTATCTTGTCGATATTGGTAATAATAATCACACTGCATCAGCATACGTGAGCGAGTTCCACCCCATTTGAGGTCCAATACCATCTAATATCATGCATCAAAGTTGCTGGCTTCTTTGTGGACAATGCTGATCTTCCCTTCATGCCGGTCCAGTAATCATATCATAATAATCATATAGATTTCCCTCCATGCAAGTCATCCTCTAATGATAGTGAGTATGGTGACGAAGACAGTGACAAAAGCTTATAATTAGTTACATGCCATCTTCAAAAGGTAGGTGCTTTTCGAAGAAAACTGATCGGCTGTATTAAGGGTCTTTGTTTTACATGATCAGTATAATTCTCCTGTTAACAAAGAAAATCATGTGTAACTCATAGAGGCCGCACTGGCGGAGATTTCACAACGGCCTGTGGAGTACTGGAAGTCTCCAGAGTTGACTTGCGTTTAACTAATTTGAGCTTATTTATCCTTACAAAACCTAACTCTAAATTGTCTATACCATGCTGTGTTTCCTATATTTGTTTCCAACTCTGTGGCGAGCCCCCAGAGTAGAGGAGACACAGAAGCCAAGCAAGATTTCTTTACCGACCTGGAGATCAGGACAGCGAGAGCATCCAAGAACCCCCAAGATGTGCCATTTTTTTTGGCATGGCAAGGGAACATGTGACATATCGGGGGGTCAGAACCTTTACCGCAGCCTCCAGAGGAGAGGAGCCTGCAGCAGCCAAGTGAGATTTCTTCACCGACCTCGAGATCAGGACAGTGAGAGCATCCAAGAACCCCCAAGATGTGCCAATTTTTCGGCATGACAAGGGAAAATGTGACTTATGGGGGGGTTCAGAACCTTTACCGCAGGTCTGCTGCGAGCCTCCAGAGAAGAGGAGACTGCAGCAGCCAAGTAAGATTCATTCACCGACCTCGAGATCAGGACAGCGAGAGCATCCAAGAACCCCCAAGATGTGCCAATTTGTCGGCACGGCAAGGGAACATGTTACTTATGGGGTTTCAGAACCTTTACTCCAAGTCCCATTCACGAAAGAACGGGATCAAATCAACAATGACCGTTGAGGTTGAGCAAGAAGTACCCAAGTCGGAAAGCTCATTAGTGAAGTTATAGAAATCCCGCTTTGATCAGAAGCCTCGCTGCAAGGCTGCCTACCATTCCCGAACTTCATGAGCCAACATTGCCCAACAATATAAATTGTTGGTCATAGTAGTGTCCGTAATATGTTTACGCCAAAAGGTCGAAGAAGACTGCTGACAAAAGATCACATTTCATCCACCTTGAGGCACCAGTAATGCATCTGTCAAAGGCCCCTAGACCCAGTGTACAACTTGCATCCAGGCCGAATCACAGCTCTCTTTGTCATCGTTCAGCTCGATTGAATAGTCCGGTCGCAAAAACATCACCTTCTGCAATTTAGGGACCGCTGTACTTGTGCTTTAAATCACCAGGGAGGGTATTGCAGTCCCAGCCAAGTCGAGCCAACTGAAATTTGCAACGATGTCCAAGCAGGTAACACCTTGATGTCCTGGCATTCCTGCAG